TTTGTTTCCAGTTTCTCCTTACCGCCTCTCATAAAAAGTCTTCTGTTTCCAGAGCTGAAATTTATAGACAATTATCCTTCATCGGTCTCATGCAAACCAACTTTTCTCAACTGTGGAGCCCTAGGATACCTCCAGAGGTTGCTAGAGGTTTCCTGAACAATGAGCAATGAATAAATAAAATGATCATATAGAGCATTTTTGTACAGTCCGTTATCAGTCTGTTCAACAGAAAACCGGCCAACATTCGGCCCGTGTGTACAGCAGCCTATCCGACAGAAGCTGGCCGAATGCCCAGCTTCTTTCAAAGGCGCAAAAAAAACTTCTGCCGTCCAGCATCCGATCAGTGCTCTCAACCAGTGGCTGTGAGCACTGACCAGAGTGTTCTGGTGGGGAGAGGGGGCAGCACCCCTGTCAGAACAGAATAGCTCAGTGTGGAGATTGCTGTACTAACATCTGATAGTACATTGAGCTGCTCTCGAGCTCCTCGTTTTTTTGTTCAGCCTACAGAAGTAGCCTTCCTAGCGGTCTAATTATGTCCATATTTCTGTGCTCAAAGCGGTACATTTTATTGCATGGAAATATGTATTTTTTTAATAGTAGGCCTGTAATTTTTAGGAATAACTCACTGAAATCTGTCCTGAACAAGAGTCTAGTAAACATCCCGGGTATGTTAAAATTTGAAACACAAAATCATAAATTATAATTTAATAAATAATCAAAAACATAATATAATAAATAATAAATTTAATTCAATAATATAATCAAACCAAAAACACTGAAATTTGAAATAGAGCACCAAGTTCGCACATCACTGAGCAAAGTCGCAAAATTGTTTTCAGTGTCTGATGACAAATTTCCCCACGAATCAATTATCACTCAATTCTGCAAGTGGTTCTAATTTACTATCGCTGTTCTCTAGCTGGTCTAAAACCGCTTTTGACCTAAAGGGACGATTTTTGGACGCCATGGACGTTTCTCAGTTTCCAGGCAGAAAGAACGGTAAAAATGCAGGCAGGGCACAGGACAAAGCACTCGGGACAAAATGTATGTGAAATGGTTTTGATACAGTAATGTTTTACTATGTGATTTTAGTGTATTTAGTAAATGTCACTTTTTGACATTTTTAAATTTTCCACCAGTTCCATCCCCTGTACATCCCGACGTCGCAGGGGACGGAACCCAGAAGACAGATGCCGGCATCGGCCGGAGGACATTGCCGGGGACACTGCAGGAGGAACATCGCGGGAGCGAAGAACAAGGTAAGTGAAGAAGAGATCCCGGAGCAGCGCCGCAGTGTAATCCCAAGTGTAGCTCGGGGTTTACCGCTTGTGGTGCTGAAAACTTTACCCGAGCTACACTCGGGAATACCGCCAGGGAGGTTAAATAAAAAAAAAACTCATAGTGTGTGCCTAGCATTAGGAGAGTTTAGGAGCTTCTTGGAGAGTTTAGGAGGATTCTGTGTTTTTTTTTTCTGCCACAAAACTCTCAAAAACAAAAACCAGAATGGGTTTTTTTCTGCCTTTAAACACTGAGCTTAAAAATATGCCTCTAAACGTCCTAGTGTGCATGGACTCAGAAGATAACATTGAGTTGCTTCTACAGCCAAAACACCAAACTCACGTAGAGGCAGCGTTTTTTTCAAGCCAGTGTGCATGAAGCCTAAATAATGCTGAGCAGTGCATTAAAAATAAAAACAAGCTGGAGTTCAGCATTAACCTGTTCTTGGTCAATACAGGTACACTTTAAGATATGATTTTCTAATTATATTCCTGCTGTCCCTTACCTACTCATAAATATTTTTCCAATGTTTTTCCAAGGAACTCTTTGAGCACTTTAGAGAAAGAGTAGCAAAGTATTTTAATCCATTGATACTGCGCCATTTGTTAAAAAGTTTAAACAGCGTTGAGCTGAGATCTCTGTGGACTAGACGTAAGCCATCTGGTCCATGTGCTTTACTCACATTGAGTTTGTCTGTTCTTTTTAAAAAACATAGTGATATAAGACGCTGTGGTTTGTTTGTATCTGTTTCAATATCATGATTCTAATTTTGTCTTCACCTTGCCACGGTTGCCACCTTTCTGATTTCCAGATGGACAGTTTGTGTCGGACAGTTCCAAGTACACAAGATGTGCCAGTGGAAATTTTGGTATTTGCAAAAGTCCTTGTTGTTCAGAACTAAGCAACTGTTCAAATCCCTTTTATTTGCAGAATAAAACAAGTTCCATTTACATTTTTTGGGATTGCAATGCAATATTTATTAAACTGGAGCTTAAAGAAGAAGATGTTTCAGGTTAAAAAATCTGGCACAATTGGATAAATAATGTTTAGTGGCTTTCTGAAGAAAGAAAAGTGTATCTGGAAATTATATTTATTTAATTAAATTAATAGGCTGACTGGTCTGTTGTAACCAGGTATATACAAGATTGGACAAAATGATGGAAACACCAGATAAAAGAACAAAACAGTTACCTAATATTGTGTTGGACCACCTTTGGAATCCAATATGGCCAGAATTCTCCTGGGAATTGACAAAAATAAGTCTTGGATGATGGATAATGGAATCTGATACCACTGTTCATGCAAAAACCATCCCAGTTCTCGCAGAGATGATGGAAACGAAAATGAGTCTGAACCTTGTTCTCCAAAAATGACCATAGTGGCTCTATGATATTGAGTTCAGTGACTGCAGCACCCAGGAAAGGCATGAGACTTCATCTGCATGTTCATCAAACCATGATTTAACAACTCCAACTCGGAGCTTTATCATCTTGGTAAATAGCTCTGTCTTCGGCAAACAATATCTGAACCATGGGGTGCACATGGTTGGCCAAAGTTTGTACATAGTCGCTGGCTGTGACTCTACCTTTCAAGGTGATGATGGGGCCTGCAGACTACCAGGATATGGCTGCCCAAACCATGATTGCGCCACCACCATGCTTTACCATTAGAACAAGACAGTTCTGGTCATAAGCTTGGGATGGTGTTTGCCAATCGTAAACATGTCCATTGGTTGGGAATAGACATGTGCATTGTATTGTTATTGTACTGTCGCATGTTATGTCCCCCTTTGTAATGTACAGCACTGAGCGAACTGTTGGCGCTTTATAAATACTGTATAATAATAATAATAAATATGCGGTTTGTTTCATTCAGAATTTTGCTGTATCTGAATTTCCAAATTACAATAGTAACAAATTAAAAAAGAATCTGAAATAACAAAACTAAATTTCATCCAAAAATTTAATCAAATTCGAACTGAATTAAAAAACAAAATTGAATGTGAAAATAAATTTGAAATATAAACATGTTGCTGACTTTTGCTGATTTCCCTCAAAGACTATGTATATTAGTGTTAGAATATAACCCACTTCCGGAATTCGAAATTTTCAAAAGAATAGAATAAAACAGAATATAATAGAAAAGAATAGAAAATAAAAGAATAGAATAGAAAATAAAGGAATAGAATAGAAAAAAAAGGAATAGAATAGAAAATAAAAGAATAGAATAGAAATAAAGAATAGAATAGATTAGAAAATAAAAGAACAGAATAGAAAAGAATAGAGTAAAACAGAAAGAATAGAAAAAAAATTTAACAGAAAATAAAAGAATAGAATAGATAAAAGGGTAGAATAAAATAGAATAGAACAAAAATAAAATAGAGTATAGCCTTCTTCTGAGATTAGAATTTTGAAAAGAATAGAACACTGTAGAATAAAAAGAATAGAATAGAAAAAAATATAACCATCTTCCAAAATTAAGATCGATTTTTGATATTTTCAATTCAAATTAGATTAGAATTAGATTAAAAAAACTTCAAAATCCATTTGCAAAATTTTAATCTGTTTGAAAATGAATAAACAAAAACAAATTTCATTGTGAATGCAACAAAGCAAAATTAGTAACTTAACATATCAATCCAAAACAAAACAAATTTTTTCGCTCTGCACATGTCTAGTTGAGAACATTGTGGAGCTCAATCTTTTGAACCATATTACCGTCTTCCACTGATTTACAGTCCATGATTTATGGGTGTTGCACCACTCTCTCCTCTTCTGAGCATTAATATTGGTCACTAGCTGTTTGGCAATTGCAGCTCACCCATCAATGTTTTACTTATGAAGCTCCCTCCACACAGGCTTTGGAAGACTGATATTGAGCACTGCAGTCACTTTTGCAGCAGTTGTTTTCTTATTCCGGGTCGTAATCCTGTGCAATGACCTTTCGTCTTTTTCGTTCAGTTGACCATGACTACAGTTCTTATACTTATCAGATCACATTTTCCCGGAAACTGTATAGGCCGTCATAACCTTTGATACTGTACCTTGCCACACGGCAAATAAATTGGCAACTTCAGTCACAGAGGTACCAGATAAGTGGGCACCAACAATTTGCCCTCTTTCAAACTTAGTAAGCTCTGACATGACTCCATAGTTTTGTCCAACCCCTGTATCTAGGTTAGTTTCTGCTAATCATTCATTTTGCTGCAATCAGGAGTGTAACTACAGCCATAGAAAGTCATGTAGATGCTATGGGGCCCAAGGGCAGGAGGAGCCTGGTCAACATCTGTTAAAAAAATGCATCTGATTACTTAACTATATTCAAAAGTTTATCCTCTTAATAAAAACATGATGGCTCGGTGATTGGGAAGTGCAAGCTATTTTTCCATGATCTTATCCATCCATCTTGGCCAGCTTAGTTCATGTTCACCAGAAAAGGTAGATCTGTTCTTTTTTAATACTCAGAACAGGCACATCACAGCAGTGGCTCTTGGGAAGCCCTTCCTAACCCCCAACGGCAGCAGACTGACCTAATGAGAATGTCTGGTGACTATGCAATTGTTCAGTTACACTGGCCACCGGTGTTAACCACTTCCAGTCCGGACACTTTTACCCCCTTCCTGACCAGGGCAATTTTCAGCTTCCAGCGCTATCACACTTTGAATGACAATTGCGTGGTCATGCAACACTGTACCCATATGCATTTTTTTACCATTTTTTTGAGACAGATAAAGCTTTATTTTGGAGGTATTTATTCACCGCTGGGATTTTTATTTTTTTTTGCTATGTAAATGAAAACGTCCACAAATTTTGAAAAAAAGTGTTTTTCTTATAAAATTTTGCAAATAAATAATATTTCTCATAAATCTTGGCTAAAATTTATTCTGTTATCTTTTTAGTAAAAAAAAAATAAGCCAAATTAGTTTATAGCCAAAAATTATAATTTTTAAACATTTTTGTTACATTTTTTTTTTTTTTAAAAAATACTGTCACCCTAGCAGCACAGTGTCACCATGGTGACACTGAACTACTTGTGGGGGGGTGATGAAAATTTTTTTTTTTTTTTACACTGATTGCTTTTACACCCATATAGGATGTAAAAGCAATCATTTCTCTTTCTCTCTGTCTCCATTCTTGCAGCCATTGAGAACTACTGAGTGAGCTGTGATTGGTCACAGCTTGTCACATGGTACAAGGCTGTTGTGAATAGCCTTGTACCATGTGACCACTGTGATCATTCAAAGATTTCACACGTAGTAAGCAATGATGTCAGAAGTGACATCTTGCTTACCACTTTGCATATGATCACTGATTGGCCAATCAGTGATCACATGATCGGGACCTCGTACAGAGGTCCCGTCCGACGATCGGTGTTTCACTGTGTCCGGAGGACACAGCGGGCACTGGATCGCGGTGCTGCGCACTCCCAGGGAGCCACCCGACCCTGCACTGCCACCGTCCGGCCATTTTATATACAACGGCCGGATGGGAGGTGGTTAAGGAATAGAATGAGAATCCAATAGGGGTACAAAATATGCTGCCCACTTTTACCAGCATTAGGTATTTTCAGTCTTCACTGACTTCATACTTGTTCCATGTCACTCAGTTTTTTAGGTAGAGAAGCCAAGATTGAGAAGCGAGACTTAGAGCCTGCACTCATCATATTCTGTTCATTTTAAGGTATAGTTACGTAAGTATGTAGCCAGGTTCCAGCTATATAATTAAGCCTTTCAGGGACATCTGCAGATAAGACTATGATTAATCCTTTTCCCCCTAGTGCCCAGTACTGGGACTGCTACTTCGCTTCCTGCTAGCAGAGTGGGTCCAGTTCTTCTGGCAGCAGAGAATCTTGGGACCTGTAGTCCTATAGCCAATACATGCTAAATTCCTGAATGCTGATTGATCCCCGACTAATAGAGAGCTGGCGAAAGAGAGGGATGCTGGGAGAGCAGATATTTCTGCACCAAGAGACTGTCTCTTTCTCTTGGCTCGAGTTTCAGAGCTGAACAGACACAGATTGCTAACCTACTGCTGCCAAACTCTGCTGCACATCAGTTTAGCACAGTGGTGATGCCGATCAACACACGGGGAGCTTTCGTGCTCTTCCAGAAAGTGCATCACACCTGCAGGATATAATAGAAGTTTATAGCAAAGTGCAGCTAACCCAGGAAAGTCGCAGATGCATTACGCTGCACCCGTGGTGCAGGTAAACCGCAGCACATCAGTGTGAAAGCAGCCTTATAGGGGGCTCAGAACAGTAAGGGTTCATTAACATCTGCAGTTTGGGTGGTAGTAAAACCCCATAGATAAGATGTGTTTTTACCACCCTGACCCAACCGCACCCCCTTTAGCTGCTTTGACCAAGGGTGTACACATGTCACAGCTGCAGCAGGAATCTTACATCCTGTCATGGAAGGTGGATGTAGCACCTGCCAAGCAAGAACCATTCAAATGATTGAGGTCGCTCTACAAGTGCCCTGCAACTTTGTGCAGTACAGCAAACAAGGGGTTAAAGCAGGCAGCATTGTGTTGCTTTCTCACCACCTGCTTTAACCCCTAGGACTCTGCAGAAGCATACAGTTGTGGGGTGCTTGCTGAGTGGCCCCATTTACTTGAATGGGTCATGACTGGCACTCACCAAAAGCAACAGGGGTTCTAATTCCTTCTGGGGCATGTGTACACCTTGGCTGCTACCTAGTGTTTTACCAACCCCAAATTTTACGTGTGAATGAGCCCTAGGGGGGTACTGCTGCTGACTGCAACTAACGGGTCATTCACAAGTGTAGCAGGGACTGCTGCTCCTCTAAAAAGCGATCAGAGTGTGTTTGACAGGTGGTGAGGAGATGATATGTTGACTCCTCGCCACCTGATCTAAACCCATGATTGCACAGTATTGCGACGCAGTAGTATGACAATTAGAGGTTTAAATCATGTGTGAGGAGGCGGCACTGTGCCTGGTGATCTTTGACTTCTCCCATGTTGTTCATTTAGTTCTCCACCTCTTAGGTTGCCTACCCCGCTTTAGGGACACTACATTCAGGTACCTTTTACACCTCAGTAACAGATCTCTGCTTTGAGAATTACCACAGCCTGTTTAACTTGAATTACCAGTATTCACTAATGTTTGTGGGCCCCACCATTGCTAGCAGAAGACAATGGATATCACCATATAAGGAACTTTAAACATCGCAGGACTCAAGTTGCAATCTCTAGTTAAAGGGACTTCTTCTCTTCCAAGGCCATTGTTATTCACATTTACATAATTCTCTGCATCCTCTATTGCTGTGCCAATGGCCTAGAGGGAGCTGATGAGTCAAAAATCCTTTTTCTTTCCCCTCTTACTGCTGGTGTTGCAGTTTTAGTTGACTAAGCTTACTACTATAATTGTGTAACTTGTTAAATGTTACTAATTGTTTATTTCTATTTCACTGGTGTTCTGTTTTATGTGTTAACTAGGTTTGTATCTACTAAATCCATTATTCTTGTGGTCTACTCTTTTGAACAAGTTTAATGTAGAGGCGTTACTAAAAACAAATTGTGCCTCTTGCATTTTTATCCTATACTGTTGAAATATGTCTGAACCCAGTGTTAGGGCTTGTTCACACTTGACTAAATTTCTAACTCTGCAAAAATGCCCCTATAGCGTTAGACAGACATTAATGAGCTTTAGTATGCGTGTTCTACAAGTGTTAAAAACGCTCCCCAAGCGCCCTATGTGCGGTTTTGAGGCATTTTATAGGCGTTTTACAAGCATTAAAACCGCACTACAAATGCCTAGAATAAACTATAATGGTAGTAACACCCCGCAAACGACTTGAAATGCCTGCCAGGCATTTGAGGAGCGGCACCATAGACTTGAATGGGAGGCATTGAAAGGCTTCAACTCCTCCTGACTCAACATGATGCTTCACTTTTGTTTTGCTAATGTGAACAGCACTGTGTATGCCCATAGTATCATTTCCATAGGCGTTTGAGGAGCTTTAAAAACGCCCTCTCAAACGCATGATTTGAAAGTCAGTGTGAACTAAGCCTTAGAGGTGTCGGTAGGCTTGCAAGGTCAAGGCAACCACAGGGGATAAGCATTGTCAAACAGCCCCTGCAGGGGTTGCGCTACAGTTACATAGTGAAAAAGGACACAAGCCCATCTATTTTAACCACTTTCCCTCCAGAGGATTTACTCCCCTTCCTGACCAGGCCATTTTTTGCGATACGGCTCTGCGTTACTTTAACTGATAATTGCACGGTCATGCAACGCTGCACCCAAATGAAATTTATGTCCTTTTTTTCCCACAAATCTAGCTTTTTTTCGGTGGTATTTGATCACCTGTGCAATTTTAATTTTTTGTACTATAAACAAAAAAAGACCAACAATTTTGTGAAAAAAAAAAAAAACAATATTTTTAACTTTTTGCTATTAAACATGTCCAATAAGAAAAAAAAAAAAATCACATTTTGTCATAAATTTAGGCCAAAATATAACTTATAGTGGGATTGCAGCGGGCATTCTGACACTGGGGGGAACTGACTTGGTGTCACTGACAACCCCAGTGACACCAATACAGTGATCAGTGCTAATAAAAAGCACTGACACTGTATTAATGGCACTGGGTAGGAAGGGGTTAACATCTGGGGCGATCAAAGGGTTAACTGTGTGCTGTTTCACTGTCTGCTGTGTCTGTGCTTTACACTGCAAGCACACAGCTTTGTATGGCTGTGCTATTCACAGCCACACAAAGCAGTGTGCAGGAGCTGACAGGGGAGAGAACTGTATAGTCTGCATACAGGTCTCTCCCCCGTCAGTAATACTCCGCGATCACCGGGTGTTGGCGAGTAATCGCCCGGTGATTGACAGCCATGGCCGCGCGGGTAGGGTGTGCACGTGGCTCGCATGTGTCCCTTACCCAGAACTGCAAAATCACATATATAGCAGTATTTCTGCTATAGGGCGGACGGGAAGCGGTTTTTAATCAACAGGAAAAATTAAACAAATAAAAATTTCCACATACACAATTCTAGACCCAGATTTGATCCAGAATAAGGTGCCCCAGGAGGAGAAAAATTAATTTCTGACCCCCTCGAAGGTAATCAGATATGCTCTGAATCAACAATCTCTGGTGTTATTACCCATAATTGTTAGTATCCAGTTTTTTTGTGCATTTAGGAATGCGTTGTCTTCTCTGCTAACCTTCACTTCCCTACCCATTAGTCAGCAATTCGCTGCCTACTGTGCAAGTCATTGGCAGGGTTACAGAGAGTGCAATCCAGCTCCGGGCAATGGATTCACATTTAATTAATTCTACAGCCATAAATCGTCCATCCGACCTCACACAAACACTTTCACTACTGTGCTCCGAAAACCAAGGCGTATGTGTGCTGTCTATTTTTGTATTGTGCGCGATGTGTTTTTTATGAACCAATACTATTTGCAATCAATATCCCATGCCGGGGCTGGCCTGATGTCTATTTACTGATCTGATGACCGTTCCAGTGCACGAAACCAAAGGCTTTTTTTTTAATCATTATTTGCAAGACACCCTTTCCCTAAATAGCACGATGCTGTATGAAACTTCAATTTACCAGGAGACTCGAGAAGAATGTTAATGATTCTGGGACAGTCTGAATGGGAAGCAGTAAAGAAATTACTAACGGATACAAAAGCTTAAGACTGATTTACAGTATATCCTTGTCAGGATACATAAAAGTAACATCATAGCTTTGAATTGTATATTTTACAACGCTTTCATTACATTCCTTACATTTAGCCCTGGTTCACACTGATGCGGTGCAGAATTCACAGTGTTTTCAGTGCAAATTCCACACCGCATCAGAATCGCACCCCGTAAACTGCTGTGGGTGTGTATGTTAACAACACCCTGAAAGCGGTCCGTATAATGCGGTGCGATGTGAAGAATTGGATCGCATTGGTGTGAACACCTATGCAATACGATTTTAGTGCAGACCCAAAAAAGGGTCCTGCAAATAGAGCCATACAAAATGTATGGCTCCAATCGCATCGCACACAAGTCACATGTGATTTGCACAGGTTCCTGTGCGAATCACATGCGATATACAGAGCCGCATGTATGTGAACCCAGGCTTAGTCTGCAAGGACACTTTAACAGAAAGATCAACATGAACATTACTGAAAATCCTAAATTTCCATGAAAAAAGTAAACACAGTTACTAATTTATACCCAGACACTGTATAAAAAGTAAAAATAAAAACATTATATATATATATATATATATATATATATATATATATAAATTTGCACCGGGTAAAAGGGGGGGGCATAGAATCTGACACACCTGTAAGTGTTGGATATTGGATAACAGTGATGGCCGTAGCTCTCTACATAGTTACATAGTCAGTCTGGCTAAATAAAAAAAACCAAAGTCCATTCAGTTCAACCAAAAAAAACAAAAAGAAAACTTCTATATCTCTCAGATAGCTACCAATGCTGAGAATATTTGTTTCAACTCTTTAAAACATATCTATGATCAAATGTGTAAAAGTGCTTGCGAGCTACTATGGTGAATATACAAGTGCCTCAATAATTAATCATTTATGTTAAATTAACACGCACATGGTTCACTGACACCAAACAACTATATAATAGTGCATATAACTGATTTAAAATAATGATATATATGTGATAAATATAATATACCGATTATTCTTGTGATCAAAAATCAATCTATATATATATATATAGATAGATAGATAGATAGATAGATAGATAGATAGATAATAGATAGATAGATAGATAGACAGATAGATAGATAGATAGATAGATAGATAGATAGATAGATAGATAGATATAAAATAAATATCAACATGTGAAAATGTGATAAATAAATTTAGTGCATCTATAATATAATCAAAAAAATCCAAAATTCACAAAAATTTTAAAGTGAAAAAAATCAATCCAAAAAATTGTTCGCTATGTGATAAAACTTCTGAAAAAACAACAAAATCAAGTGGACCGGATATGATTTTCTTATGCGCTCACCTCACTTTTAGCCTAACTGCAAATTAGGCTAAAACAGCTTTTTGTCCTTAATTTAATATAATATTTTATATCTATGATCAAACTGTAAAAATATATGATCTCTGCATTTTATTTCAACTATTTCTAGCCTACTCCTATTATTATTGAACGATCTTGAAATGTGTAAAGCCGCTGTGCGAGGACCCCTACACAATTACTTCCTTGAATTCTGTGACACATAGTCAGTATGCCCTGTAGTAGAGGTGCTGCTGTGTCACACATTTCCCAGAGCCTGCCTTCTGAACAGAGGAGCTGAGAGGAGGAGTTTCAGGAGGCAGAGCCAGCACAGGAATCACTATTTGCAGGCAGCAAGGTACCATGGGATATATAGTCCTTAGAAATGAGCATGTGGGGGATCCAAGACGTTGTGGAAAGAGATGGCCAGCAAACAGGCAAAACTGACAACATGAGATTTTTTCGAATAAACATATTGGATTTTCAACTATAACTATTGTATGTATTGTTATTAAAATGTTGATATTATAACATGAATACGTATGCTCTGACCATAGGACTCCTTTAAATTTTTATTAGAAATGTTCTTTATTTTAAACTATGAATTGGTGTATAAAGGTTGCACGGCTCTATTAAAAATCCTTAAGGGCTGGTTCACTCAGGGAATCGCACAGAAATAGGCTGTGCATTCCTGTCCAATTCACATGCAGTTCTGTGCAGTGCGATTTCAGCCCATTCATTTTGAATGGGCTGAAATCACATTGCACCGCCCCACGCAAAAATTAATCTATGCACTACTTTTGAAAACACATTGCAACTGGATCACATGGTACTTCTGTACCATGCAATCCAGTATGGACAAACGTACTGCATTTTCAGCATGTGTTTGGAGTGTCATTAACTTAAAGCAGAACTACACAGCATCTGAGCACCACCAACCAAAAATGGTATTGAATTTATTTTTAATATTTAAAGCAAACTCCCCCATCCATCCATGTCTCCATGCTTTATTTTGCTGAGTAATCACTTTGAAAAAAACACCCCGCTAGCATGTCTGACCGTGACCATCTTGAGTAAGGGCAGATGATTCATGTAGTATTTACTTCCTGGAATCCATCTGCCCTTAGCTCAGTCATGCAGGCAGGAGGGTGGGCTTAGCAGAGAGAGCCCCTCCTAAAGACTGCTGGGATGTATGACATCATTTGCCTAGGCTTGGAAACCAGTAAGTAACTGAAGAAATGTAAAAAAAAAATAAATAAGTAAATATAATATGCCTTTCTATCTATTTACTAATGCTGGCAGCATAGGGATTAAAAATAGTCAATGTTAACGTGGTTGTAAAGGCTCAAGGATTTTTACCTTTATGCATTTGATGCATGAAGGCAAAAAACTTTCTCCGTGCAACCCCCCCCTGTACTCACCTAAGCCCCCACTTGATCCAGCGATGTGCACTGGAGTCTCGGCTATCCTGGGACTCCCTCTCCTCATTGGCTGAGACAGTAGCGGGAGCCATTGGCTCCTACTGCTGTCAATCACAGCCAGTGAGCCAATGAGAAGAGAAAGGGGGTGGGGCCAAGCCATGGCTCCATGTGTGAATAGACACATGGAGCAGCGGCTAGGGAGTGCAAATGCTCAGGTGCCCCCATATCAAGCCGCTTGCTGTAGGGGCACCCAACAGGAGGGAGGCACCAGGAGCGCCGGCAGGGGACCCAAGAAGTGGAAAATCCAGGCTACTCTGTGCAAAACCACTACACACAGCAGGTAAGTACAGACATGTTTGTTATTTTTTTTTCAAATTTAAGCCTTAAGGAATGGAAGCTTCCTGCACTGCGTTTTGATGTGAACTGGCCCTAAGAGAAGTGGCTAAAAATCTCTAAATAAATGCACCTAAACTGAGGAACAATAATTGAACGTATTGCAGCTTACCTTTCTTTAGCTGTGGTGGCTGAATTTGTTTTATTTTTTCCGAGATTTTTTTCTTCTTTATTCCCTGACGATCCTGCCAGGAACACACTATCTGTCCTAGGGTGACAACCATACTCTATCTGGGAGGAGTGGCATTGTCACCCTTTATCGTCATAACAACAGGGGAGGTTTTTTTGTAGTCAAAGGAGATAATATTAAAGTGTTACTAATCCCAGAACTCTGCATTCACTATATCTGGTCTCCCACAGTACACAGAACATGGAAATGCAATTATTTTAGTAAATAAAAACTGCTAAATACATTTTCTCATCGGCAGTTACAGCAGTCTTGTGACTTCTGAACACTTGTGTCTGGCTGAACACTGGTTAAAGCTTGTAGGAGAAGTTTTCATTCTCCTCTGACTGTCCTATGAGGCTGCATGACCCCTGACCCTCTGTCGGGACAGTGCTGATTGGCCCTGTGCTGATCACATGCACCTTCCCCCCCCCCAAAAAAAAAAAACCTCTCTAGCAATACACACCAAACTGAGCATGTGCAGGGTGCCTCCTAGAGCTCTGTACAATCAGCCAATGGATTGGGGACAGTAGAAGAAGGGGAGGGTCATAGAAGACTGGATCAAACAGCCTTTTACACAACGCAGAGGATTAACCCCTTAAGTTCCACAGTGCATACATACCAAACTGAGCATGTGCAGAGTTCTTTCTAGGGCTCTGTACTATCAGCAGATGGATTGTGGACAGTGGAAGAAGGGGAGGATCAGAGAAGACAGGATCAAACATCCTTTTACACAATGCAGCGGATTAACCCCTTAGGTTCCACAG